TAGGTTTCTTCGAAGGCGTGAAGGTGTACTCCGGAAGAACTTCACGAAGTGCCCACGGGAACGGTGAGAAACAGGGGTACGGGACAAAACGGGATTTCCAAAAGACGGTAACATATAAATAAAAAGTACAAATTCTGCACGCACAACTCTTGTGCAAATAAAGCGCACTCTTGTGCAAATAAAGCGCACTTTTAGCACCCCGACGAAATTTGCCAATTGAACAGGGTAAAGGATTTTAAATGAAGACGCCGTGCTTACTGCTTGTTATTTAGACAATAGCTTGATGATTGTTACAACCCAATAGAAAGATATTTGGAATTATAACTGAAATCGAAAAAATGTTGGAGAGGAGGGCAGAAGGAATTAATTCCCGCTGTTGAGACATTTCATTAGAATATCATGGATAAAGTCAGTCTCCTCTAGAGGTAAGAGGGGTGGTCGTTGATAGAAAACAGTGCCTTTTGTTGCGACTTTCAATTAGAGTAGGTTACCTATTGCACAATGATTTTATTTTTCCTGTGGATGGATTCAACTTACGTCGGTAAATTTATATGACGTGTTGTGCAATAATTTTTTTCTTGCGTAAACACAAAATTCAAGTAGTCTCAAACACGTATTCTAATTTTCTTGGCACCTTCCTCGTAGAAACTCTTCTAATCACCTTATTTTCACGGATCGCGTTTACAAACCCAAAAAGTTACTATATTTTGAACCACGCAGTTGATGCTACCCTGAGCCAAAAACATATGCCTTAAATCTCAATGAAATCTGTCTTCTCTGGATCCGTCCCCACTCTTTTCCATTTGGGAAGAACGCCCACAAAATGGTACTAATAAGTTAACGCGGCCATCTTTAATAATTAGCTCATTTGATTCGTTTAGCTTCACGAATTACGCGTGCTAGCGCCATAAATAAAACCTACGGCCTTTTAATTTTGCAGATTCATCGCTTTCCATGGGCTCGAAATTAGAGAATGAAATTTTGACTTAGCTGTCCTAGGCACAGAAACCCCATTAAGATAGTCTTATCTACTGTCAACGCCTGACCGACTGACGCCGTCAACTTCCGTAAGCCATTAAACTGTCGCACACGCACACGTAAATAAATACATCGTATGAGTAATGTTACATAAATTACATAATTGTGATTAACATAGCGTCCGCTTAAATCGGAAATGATATAACTGAAAATATTGCATCGATCCTTCTAGGACATTCTCGAGGCGCCATCAAGTCGATAATTAGTCACCGACGATAAGGAATGAAATCGGACGTGACTCATTCTTTCTATGAAAGATGATATGTCTTCCAGATTTTCCGAGAAAGTTTATCATTTTCAGCATATACAGGGTCCTGCAACAGTGGGTTCGGAACACCCTGTATCATTAAATCCAACTTTCTCATTATCAAGGTGTTGCCTTTTGTTGAAATTAAGATTATTCATCAAATGTTTTTCTTAACTTCAAAATCATGGTAGCTACGATTCATCAAAGTGAACATTGACAAAAAATCAAAAAGTGAATTGGTTTCCATAAATATACAGGGTGTTTTATTTTCAAAAATCAGTTATTTATTGACACCGTAAAATGGGACGCCCTGTCCATTCAAAAATAATTTCTGCAGATGCGCAATAGTTGACATATTTGCACAAAAGGTTTTCTTATATTTTTTACCAAGTTCGTGCTAGGAAAGATCAACGCACTATTTGCAGGACCTTGTAGGTATACGCAAATTGGATTGTGATCAGCCTCAATCCTAAAATTGATGGTGAAGTGATAAATAGTAAAACTCGCGCTCGCGTTACAAATTTTCGTGTATAATAATATAATAATGAACTGATATGAAGCAATCTAAGTATTTAAGGACCGTTTTCATTTAGCTTCTCGTTAATACCTAATGTTAATTCCTGGCGAAAATTACTGATTTAATTTTATATAAATAAATGTCAAATGACAATTCCCAGTAGAAAAAAAAAGAAAATAATGTCATTTAACCTTGGTCAATGGTCAACGAAACCTCGAACTTTTTGTATGAAACTAATTTATAGTTAAATATAATATCAAGGGCATCAAAAAACTGTGAGAATTTCTATATTACACTTACCGCACCACGATTACTGTAACAAAGCGCTTACCTGAAACAAACAAAATAAGTGTTATTATTACTAACAATTTAGTTTTTAGGTGTATAAAACGGAGTCCAACAAAACTGTGTACATTCTAGTTTGCACTTTAAAAAGTTAGACACCACGCCACGTATGTAATTTTTTAGTGCCGGGAAAAATCAATGTCCGAAAACGATGTGCGTCGGTGACACAATTTTCGGTCAATTGAGATATGAATTTATAAAAAGAGGAGATTGCACCTCTGTTTACAAAAGAACGAGGTGAATAATGACCTAGTTTCATGTGGAACGCGACACACCCCCTAATAAAAAGCCACCTTCAGATTTCCCGATAATTGAAAAGCGGTCAGGAAATTCCGTCGCGTTGACAATAAGTTACTTTACCAAGGGTCACTATTCATTAAATTATTTATAAATCGATAAATAATCAATCGCTACTGAAGGTTATGTTTACTCATGTATTACTAATCCAACTTTTCGACGTTAAAAGTTCGTTTTATGTCAATCCGTTTGTTTGCTTACCTAACAAACTGTTAATAAATGGTATGTACTATTATAGTATTCGTGGAATATATGAAGTTTGGAACGGACGGAGCGATGGTTCTTTCATTTAATTTCGGGCCTTTTTAAGTGCAAGGCTAATCAATCGGCTACTTAAAATCATTGCCGATAAATTAAGTGATTTTTGCATGACATATTAGGGACCTTGATTATATTTTAGTTGTAAAAAATTGACGCATTTTTAACTGGAAAATATTAGAAAAGTGCTAACGTTCGAAAATTCAGCGGCGAAATCATGTGAGCCAATTCGATGACCGTCAGAGCACTAGTATTTGGGGTTAGGAAACTTGTACAAGTCTGCAGTCTCGGTCTCCGTCAATGACAGTAATCGGGGTACGTGGTTAATGGGATTGTGTGTTGAGAATTAATTGAGCAGCTTAGAACAAGATTACCATCTTTTGAATTTATTATAATGGTACAATTACCACTCAGTTATAGCATGGTCTTTGGTTATAGATAGCTATCATTACATCCATCCTAAATAAACAAATTTTGAATTTTTGCCTATTAGAAACATCTTATACTTACATTCGAAATCGAGAATAGAGGTAATTGTGGCAATTGGTTTCTAATTTATAATGTGGAACTGTGAGGAAGATTCGGTAACTTGAAATTAGAATTAGAGTAGAATAACCACTTTTGCAAAATGACATCGGCAGGAACCCAAAACTCTCGAACATCATTCATGCTTAAGGTATGTAGTAAGAAAGAGAAAAAAATAAGCTTTTTAATGATGTATCACATGACCTATTGCTCTTTAGCAAAATTTAAGATGGCGGTCGAACTCAAAAACTATGCGTTACAAAATTTTTTTAACCTCAAAATATGTGACATAATAAGTCAAACGGAAGCGTTCTAATTTTCATGTCTATATCTCAAATAGTTTGAGCGTGAGAGCTTTGGTTCCTTCTTTAATAGCGACCCTGTATTTGTTTAAGGACTTAAGTACCCGTAGTGGAGAACCATAATCCAACCTCAACAATCGCAAAGCTAAAGAGGGTTCGTTCGGTATTATGAAGGAAAGTGCAGGAGAACAGCTACCATGAATCATTTCGCCTGGGGAAGTCACTGTCCTATAAAAATGATCTCCCTGGTAAGAAAAATTTTATGCCGTTAAACAGAATCTCGTATATAGAACTGTTACTTGCAGTAGGTACACATATACACATTTATTATTTTCAAGGTTTGAATGTAAAAAAAATCGTCTTATTATAGGCGCTTATAAATAGATCTATGTGCAGATAGCCATGAAATTGACACTCACTTTGGCACGCGCTCAAAAAATTGGCAAAGCATATGTTTCGTACGATGCAATTTTGAACACTCAAAAGTATTTTTATCTGTAAAGTTGACACGTTCATAAGGAATTGTTTATTTCGTTTCCAGGCGGGATGAAGTGTGGGAGCATCTTAATCAAATAGAATTTCCCTGTCCAAGGTGAGAGTCCAGGGCATTCAAATTGATTCGAGGCTATTTTTAAACAGAGAATATAGAAAGGGAGAGCTTCAACAACTCAGGACCCAGTAGTCGTACATGTCGAAAAGTGTCTCTACTGTTTGAGTTCGAGAGATAGGTATCTAGCATTTATGTTCACTAGTTTTTTGATTTCTTATTTTTATTAACAGTTCTGTGAAAAAATGACACAACGTATTCAATGTAGTTTAAAACTATTTTGTGATTCATGGCGAAAATGTGCTTTTTCATGTTCAAAATTATTTGGTTCAAAATGATGGGAAATACGAAAGATATATGTACGTTTTGAGTACAAATGCGATATCTACTTTTTTATCTCTATTTTTGTATATAACATACTGCAAGCCAGCGGGGCAGGGGTTTGTAGCAGTTACGCCAATGAAACTACAGTCGAATGGATCACGATGTAAGTTGGGTTTTCGGTTTTGCCTTCGGATAAAAAAAACTTTTTTCGTAGCAAAGAATCGAACCCTAGCCGCCCGAGTGCAATCCGGGTATCCTTACCACTAGACCATTGTCGCACACATTAATTCGTGGCTGAACTACAAACGCCAACCTAACACCACCGCGACAACAACGAGTACCACGTCACCGCCACCTACTCCAGCAAGTACATCCGGCCGTCGGCGTCGGCGGGACCTGTCACCTCGCTCGACTCGGCCCCGCTATCAACCCCTGCCACAGGGACTTTTTTGCGACACCTGACCCGCCATCGGCCGAACTTCCGCAATAAAGGGGTCGGTATAAATACGGAAACCCAAATGCCAAGAAGCCACGTCTGTGTCGTTCAGACCAGACCACCTGCATCGGCTTCTACCTACTGATCCGGAACAAAGATCACAAAACCTTCCCCATAAATTTCATTTAGTATACAAAGATATAAGTATTTAATGGCGACATGTTTCGGAAAATGCCATCATCAGGTCAACATAGAGATCGACCGAAAACGGTACATGGTTGAATTCCATAAAATTTAAAAGGTACAAAAACCCTGAAGGGGAAAAAGTCCTAGACAAGTTAAGGGTCTACAACCCTGAAGGGAGGAGTCGACAGAGAAAAATTGGGGATTATTCCATAATATTTAATAAAAAATTTAAAAAACGCGTACCCAGTAGGTAGAACTTGTTGAGTATCCATTCTCCTAGGGAAGCTCGAAATGGGGTAAATGATAATCCGGAACAAAGATCACAAATATTGAAAAAAAACGACCGAAGACGCCATAACTGTAAAAGCCGGTAATTAAATTGACTTACAAACGGCGATGGATTAAGATGACAATCAAGTCATGTGATTGTGAACTGCAGTTTTGTACCCCGATGCGTTAGTGGTGCTAAAAACCACCTAGCGTCGGATTGCAGCAGCAAGCTATAGAAGAAAGAGCCACAACATCAAACTCTCCATTAACAGCACCTGTCGCACAACCAACCCGGATGAGCTCTAGCCGAACCGCAGCGCTACAGAATCATGTCCCTTCTAGCTCTGTGTAAGATCTTCGAAAAGGTGCTACTGGCGAAACTGCAACCCAACATAAAACCTGGGAAGTTCGGGTTTCGTAGACAACATGCTACAACCCTACAAGTTATCCGTCTTGTTGCTCTGAAGTCTACAACAGAGCCCAGGTCACCGTAGCTCCGTCGTTTGATAACGAAAAGGCATGGCCTGCTAGGCAAGATACATCATACCCAGTCACCCACTCAGTTTCTAGACTGATCAGAATAGAAAACCAATTGTCGAATGAAACACCTGCCGTCACTGGAGTGCCACAAGGAGGGAGTCTATCGCCAACATTGTTTAACATGTACGTGAACGACATCCCACAAGCCCCCAACGTCGGCATTGCTCTGCACGCTGACGCCCTCCGCGTAGACGCTACGTTGTACAACCCGTTGGTGGCTTAAACTAAACGCATCTAAGACCCATTCATTTCAGTTTCTGGATTCTGTGCCTACAAACCCCAATGGTGACTGGGATCAGAAAATCGCATGGCTCCAAGAAAAACGGGCACCCTACCTACCATAAGGAGGAACAAGATATACCAATAACAACAAGCTTTAAGCAGTAGAAACTTTATAGCTAGTGCTGCTGGAATATGGATGGCCAGTTGCGGCCATCTAGCTCACCAATCGACGCCTACCTGTGTATATTTGTACATAATGTACAACATGTATTATAGTGTTAGGTTTCGTTGTTAATAAACGCCTTCGTCGTTAATTGTTCCGCGATACGGTAACATTTCATTTTTGCAAAATGTGTCATTCAAAAATTTTTTTCGCTTTAGAGCTACTGAGAGTTTTACTTTCTTATCTTATACGTTGTTTTATGGTGGTCTTTTATAATTAAAACGTAAAACGCAAACGCAACCTCAATTTGATAAATGCGGGTAGAAACATAGTGGAGCAAGTCATCTCGACATTCACTGGGCCACGCATCGCGCTGTTTATTTCGCTTCGCACTTTGCGCAGAGTTGTTAAAACACAGTGGAGCTTGGAAACTGTTGAAAGACCTCTCACTTACTATACAGTGCGTTCGAGTCATCTTATTGATCTTAATATCTGTTTTATTAGACGAGAAGCGGAAAATTTGTCAAATATAGTTTTACAGACATTATGATCTATCCGAACGCATATTGAAATTTCCGGTTAAACCGGAAATCGTAGCAACTTTTGTTTTTTGAATGCAATGCCTATGTTTTTTAAATATATTTGAAAAGAGCAATCAATTTTCTGCGCGACAACATAACATATGCATATGGTTCATACGAGTATACAAAAAAAAGATGGAGAAATTCGTGATACAGTATTTAAAAATTTTATGAAATCCAGCATGTCAAGGGCCATATCACACAGAAAATACCTACAATAACTTGTTCAATGTTTCGTTTTGAAGATATACTTTTGGGCAATCCGTAATACAGCAGGCATCGCGCATCCTAACAGCACACGGCATGCTAGATTCCATAAATTTTCTAAATATTAAATAACGAATTTCTCTATTTTTTGTAAGTCAACCATATGCATATTTTTTGTCGTACAGCAAATTGATTCCTCATTTGAAATATCGTAAAAAAATAGGCATTACATTTGAAAAACAAAAGTTGCATCGATTTTCGATTAAACCGGAAGTGTTATCGGAATTTTGAATATGCGATCGGGTAGATCTTAATGTCATATATAAAATTATAATTAACAAATTTTTGGTAGCTCGCCAAATAAAAAAGATATTGAGGTGACTTTTTTTTCTCGAACACACTGTACATGCAACAATCGTTTTAGCATTGAGAGAACCAATCACGAAGCGAGTTTCAAGCAACTCTTGCTCCACTATGTTTCTACACGTAATCGAGGATGCACGATTGTGCACTGATGGGTGCATGGGATTGTTGCATACACGGTACACCCTCTAGCTAGGGAGGGCGTGGGGCCCCCGGTGAGTTACCTAAGCAATTGGCGATGATCGCGGATAAGCAGTTGCAACGTTTGTTAACTCTCGGGGGCATAAGACGAGCGCAGTTATCCTGAATGATGCCATGCCAACCCCTATGCTCTTTTACATAGATTACAGAGGGGCGTATTTAATGAACGGTGGGTATACAGTAGATTTTCCGCACCTTAACCTTACGGGTCTTCGTCTTGCCGTCATCTCTTTATTGGCAAGTGAGCATTTCGATTTCTTTCATAGAAACGTGCAAAATAATAGTACATTATATTATATCATGGTAGAGAAGTACAGTATTATTGCCTGAGCACCAAGATTACATCTCGAGGCGCTTGCGCCGAGGGGTGTAAGGTGCGAAGGCAATAATAAACTTCTCTACCGTGGTATATATACTATTTTTTTCACTACTAGTACTTGAAGTCCTCTAAATTAACATATTATATTGATAAGAAAGTGAACGGTTGGACAGAATTTTTTGTTTAATAATTTAACATGTCAATCAAGTACGTGGAAGTACAAGTCAAACAGGCCGTATTTTGTTCTGTCATTGAAATATTTTCAAAGAGTAATTTCGTTCGAATTTTTTCAAAATGTGATAATTTTAGGGATGTAATTTCTCTAGAAATGGCGGATGGTGGCAATTATGCATTTTAGAGAACTTTGTCTAAACGTTTATTGAGCGAAATTTCGGGTTGTGTTTTCTAAAAGTGACAGCGTGACAGTTCTCATTATTGACTACTAGTTAATAATGTCCACATTATTAACCACTTTGAACAAATGCCGAGAAAGCCTACTTTACAAGGGGAAAAAAGGTTAATAATCATGTCATCAGACGCTAGTAGTGAAAAAAATAGTACTTTGTGTACCAAGGCGGGAAAGTGGTTGTTTTCCGGGGCGAAGGAAGATATGGCCGGGCGAGGCGAAGTCGAGGCTGGCCGCTTCCTGAGGCCCGGAAAACAACTTTCGTGCCGTGGTGCACACAATATTCTTTATCCTATATACGTACATTTAAAATTAATCCTTCATCAACGTCCGACCGCAAGCGCTTGAATTTGAATTTGGTTTACGCGTCAACGTGCACTCGTTTGTTTTTTTAAGGTGGGTTTAGGCTCGTACGCAGAACGGCGCTGCTGCAGAAAGTCGCAGCCGCAGGTAGTTCGAGACCATGTTGATATACGGCCTTGTTTATGCTTGAACGCACAAATACAAAACGTAGGTTGCCGCAAATATGCTTGTCTGTAGGAGACGCAGAAGTTCGCAGAATTTAAACTTTGTACGCAGTTGTTTGTAGTCGGGCGTACAGCTCTTCTTGATCCTTTGTCACCATACTTGAAAAACATTTAGAAACCTTCCAAATTTTCTCCTATATTTGTTAACAGGTCTTACTGCCCACCGTCGTACCCTCCTTTGAGTATGCAAGAGCCCCAACTCATTACTTAACGCCGTTAGTAACAGTATTTTCTTTAATTTAATTCTCTTCTTGTCTGCCATTGCAGAAATTAATCAAAAATCTGTTTTTTCTATTCACTTAACCAACCACGTTATTTAACGACCAAAAGAGGTTAGGTTTTAAACATACGTCAATTTCGACACTTGAACACTGAGAACAACTGCGTACCAACATAAACAGATAGATCACTAGTACACACGGGGGCGTACTTCTGCAGCTGAAATTTCCACTCACTTCTGCAACGTGTGCATTCTGCGTACGAGCCTAAACCCGCCTTTATTTCCACGTTTCCTGCTGACTACGCGAAAAAAATTTTACGAAACGGTGCAATCTAAGTGGGCCCACGAGTATATTTTTTACTCGTAGATTTACCCCTTTCCCTTATAATACAGTTCAACGCAAATTCAAATTCTAGCGCCCTTGCGATTGCACAGTGCGGAGTCAGCGAAGGGAGTCACGGTGCAACAGAGCAGAGGTGCAAGTGGAGAATACCGATCATGTGCGAACTGAAATGACATTTCCGGTATTTCACTGGCGCGTGATTATTTCCTTAGAAAATAACGGGATTTAAGGGGTTGTAATTAATACCAGGCGCATTTGAAATTATTACTGGTCTTGTGTATCAACAAATGTGTTTTAAAATTGAATGTGTGTTTTCAGGCACAAAATCACTCCGGTTACATTTTAAATCCTTGGCAGGATCCATGTCTTGTCAAATGTTAGATGCTTTTAAGACTGGATTTATGCTTGGTGACGAACGCGAAATGGGCACACTTTAACTCCTTGATGATCTTGTATGTTAAAAAAATGTGTTTTATAAATAGATTTATTCATTCCTTACAGTCACACTGGACACATTTTAACTTCGGGGTGGTCTCGTATGTTAAAATGCTACTTATTGCGGATAAGCGGTGTTCTACTTACAGTGCAAAGTACATCTTGGTGTTAAATGTATTGACACAGCTGATGCTCGTTATTGAAAGTAAATGGGGGATTATGACAGTTTGAAACGTTTGAATTGGTCACGTGATATTGGGAAAGTATTCAAATTCACGAAACATTGATAGGTAGGTTCGCGGTAATTAAATAAATTCTTGAATTCAGTAAAATAAAGTGAACATAGGGTAAATTTAATTATTAAATCAGTGTTAACGATTTTATGTTTCTTATTTAATTAAAAAGAAATAACTTCTTTGACATTTTTAAAGTCACTAGATATAGAAAGTACCGCAATCATCCGTCATTTTTGGGCAAATTTGCTGCCAACTTAAAAAAATTGACAAATAAAATCTGGATAGCTGTCATTTTTATAACCTAACTTCATAGTACTGTCATGTTTTATAAAAATATATACAGATATCTCCAAACAGGTGGAACAATCCCTAACATTAAAGTTACTAGAATCTGGTAACTTCCGCCATTTTTGGGCAAAAATCATGCGTTCTCTCTCTAACACACGAGCCCAATGGATTGCGGTACTTTCTATATTTAGTGACTTTAGACATTTTATTACAACCGCGCCATCTAGCTTACATAAGGCGTATTTTTTTTCTCGCCTAGCCGACAAAATTGAATTTTCTCGCTCCATGCGTGCAATTGTCCTCTTTCGCGTCCTCACACAGGCGAGAAAATGTAAGTTTCTCCTTGTATAGCATAAAAAATATTATTTATCATATATTAATATTTCAATCATTAAGTGTGGTACTATATATGATAATTATGTAATTTTTTTTGTACACACTGCTGATACTTTGCCAAAGTTATGATACACGCCCATTTAAAACATAGGCACAGGCATATACGTCACGTTTTTAAGCGGAACAGGCTCAATTTTCTACAGAACGCAGCCAATCAACTGAAATGGCTTTGACTAACCTAGTTTTTTCGCACTGCTCTATTTGTACACGCCAACATGTACCTTTCAATTACTGTCAAAGGATGCGACTACTAAGGTAACTCTACCATAAAGTGTGGAATAAAATTGAAATCTTTGGGAAAGTAAACGACACAAACGCAGGGATCGCCTACATTTCGGAAATTGCGAAAATGCAGAGTGAACAATTTTTTAATTGACGAGTTTTATTTGGAAATAGACATGCGGAACCAAATGTGTCCTCGAAAAAAAGTTAATCTCCCAAATGAATGATAGCCAACCGAAAGTAGGTTACAGGGGGGCGGGTGTGCTTTCAAGGAGTAGAGATTTAGCAGAACTGGTGATCTCTAGTTTGAAAAGAAATACAAAGAATTTGGCCATAAATCTATGCGAATCGCAATTGAAGTCTGGCGGTCGGTATCCGGCGAAAGCTGTCACAATAAACTGAGAAATGAAA